TCAGCATCTCGGCAAAATATGCCAATTTGCACACGGTTCCGTTCTGGTCCCATTCGAGGACGAAGTACTGGATGGTCTGTAAGGGGGCACAGACGATGAGGAGAAGCAGGTCGGAAGCCGTGAGACTGATGAGAAACACATTCGTGTTGGTACGAGACTTGCGATCCCTCATCATGACGAGAACGACGGCCAGGTTCCCCAACACGCCCACGAGGAAGGTCACCGAGTGGGTGATGAGGATGTGCGTGAACATGGGGTTGTTGTTCCACGGTTTCAGCATGTCTTCGGGATGGTCCATGTACATGAAACCATCCACGGAATCGCTTTCGTTCGTTTCCAGATACCAAGACGCCGAGGCGGAAGCGTTCTCGTCTTCGTAATCCATGGCAGGTAGAGAGGAGACTAGTCGGGCGAGGACGAGGACGGGCAGGCCACATGTACTCAGACTTCCAGTCTGCGCACGTCTGGAAGGTCACATGGTCGCTCAGCCAATCCCTCCACACCATGCCTGTCAAATATCCCCCCCCCCCCCTCTCACCCCAATGTATTTGTTATGGATGCCCCGTATCGATAAAAGAAGTTTGTTTTCTCCTACGCATAATATGTCGCTGTCTATCAGACGAAAGCTGATGCTCCTTTCACTCCTGCACTTCTCGACAGAGAATTCTCTTCTACATAGAATAAAAACGGTTGCTGTCTCAAAGCATTCGAAACCTCATCCTGTTTCTTTCACCCTTGCACTGTTTTGACAGAAAATTTCAGGGAGAAAAAGTGTCCAACTCCCAGTTTCCCATCTGCTTACCTTGCCTTCAATCTCTCTCCATCCCGTCCTGCGTCCGCCAAGGAACTGCCCTCCAACACTCGCAAACAAATATTTTTGTGATCGAAATCTCTTTCCATTTCGAAGTTCTTCGAAGTTGACTTCGGGATCCGTCCCGACCGTTTCCCGACTTGGGTAAATATCCCTTTTCCCTGAAGGAACTCCAACGCATTTCTATGAGAAGAGCTATATTTATTTCTAAGAAATTCCAAAGTTTCCAAACTCATGATTTTTTTATTTACGGAACATTGATGGGATGCAAGGAGGAAATAAGGCTTGCATTCCGAATAAAATATCGACAAAACGATGCACGCCAACGAGTTTCACACAGATGAGAGAACAACCTATCCTTGGTATGCCGGTGTCCCACGTCACCTAGTTTCACGTTCAAGGGGCAGAGAAAATCGAGAAAAAGCTCTGTAATGCTCCTTTAATGTGCAGCTTTTGCTTTGAATCCAGGTGCTCCAGCTGAACATAGTTTATCACGCGGCGGCACGAGGCAATGAGAATGCGAAAGGAGTCGGGATCCAAATGACCCTCTCTGGGACTTCCCTTGGCGCTACCCTCATTACTTCCTTCTCTTTCATCTCAGGCTCCATCTGTGTTTTCTGCCTCCTTTCCCATGCCCGTCGCATCAAATGAAAGTGCACCCGAAACTAGATTCGTACAGTCGATGCAGCTGGGAGAATATTCCATGAGTTGTTTCTTGTTACACACTCTTCAGTCTTCGGTTTTGTTCCAGTAAATATCTTCAGTCGCACCAATGTATGCAAATAATCAGCTCAGTAGCTCTGCTAATAAAAATATTTCCCGGGCTATTAAAAATACAGCTATTAAAATGTATTAAAAGATCCAGAGAATTCAAATTGATACCAACAGCGGGGATGATCCCCATGGGGTCGCAGTACGAGGGTTGTCCGAAAAGTTCTATGTATTGATTTTTTAAATTAGTTACTTTTGATGAATCTTCATTAAATTTCGGTTAGCACTGGTTATATCTAATAGTATTCACTGTGCAAAGTTTGGTATAAATTTAGTCACATTTACAGGGGAAGATGGACCTTGAAGATTAGCCACGAAGTGGGCGACCAGTTTCTGCTTGAGCACCAGCAAAAGTTCAGCAAGTTAGCGACCTTCTTCAAGAATACCGTCTTCGAGGTCCGTTTTCCCCTCCAGGAAGAACTTTGACCACTTCCGGATCGTCTCGTATGCTGGACAGTGTTGGTCCGAAGTCATTGACATCAGTTAATAAATTTCTCTCGGTGTGTTGTTGAGCAGAACATGGAACTTGACGATGACTCGAATGTCATGTTTCGAGAATGATTCTTACACGACGGAGGCATTCATACTGACTGTATGCAATATCCGGCAGCGTGTGTAAATGTAGCTAAATTAATACCAAACTTCGCACAGTGAACACCATTAGATATAACCAATGCTCACCGAAATTTAATAAAGATTCATTGAGTGTAACTCATTTTAAAAATCAATACAGAGAACTTTTCGGACAACCCTCGTATTTGAACATATATATGAAGTATATGAAGCTTCGTATGTGAAGTGAACAGAGGGACTTTTTGTACTTCATATTTGCTCTGTCGATATGGAAAGGAGTATCAATATGAAATTGATCACGGTGTCGAAAATACTATTTTCTGTTCATCATATCTGAGTAGAAGCAGTGCCGTACCGAGGATATTTGACGCCCTGTGCGAGATATCCCGCCCCCCTCCCCCCTCTCGTGCGAGATACTGTATCAATCCAGCGCCTTCCCCCCTTCTAAACCTCCCCAGCTTCCCCAGCACTAACACCAATAGTATAAATATTAATTTATGTGCTTAATTTAAATTCAGGCTAATTTGCAACATTTTTAAAGGTTTTATTTATATTGTGGTGATTTAGCAGCCAATCGGCGCTCTGTGCGGGCGCACCGCTCGCACCCCCCTCGGTACTGCTCTGAGTAGAAGTGTACAGTAGCTAGCGGAGGGGGGTAGATGAATGCTCTCTCTGCATGACATATATGTAGCGGGGTAAACGCCCCCATGACCTCTACATACATTGACTTGCCATAGCATCTCCCATAGAGATCCATAACAGCTAAGGATTAGATGGATTCAAACTTTGAAGGCCGTGGTGTACCGACCGATTTCGAAGCGGCCCAGCTTTTCCCTATTATCACTTTAAACCACCCAAAAAAAGACAACAAAAAAAAAAGAGAAACCCGCGGCGCAGTCTCACCAGGCAAAAATCCTTGACACGGAATGTCGCGGATTTTTGCCTGGATAAACTGAATGAAACTCATTGGACATTAGGAGAATGGTATAGGTTGAAATCGTCGAAACTGAAACAGTAAGTTCTTTGGAGTAGGAACTAGTAGGGAATTTCAAGAGTGGTGCAACTTAAGGCTCAAAACATGCATCCGAGGACTACCACTATAGAAAGATGTTCCATCTCTTCAAACGAAAGCAAAATTAAATTTATGGCTCTGAGGCCATTTTCATTTTCTTCGGGAGAAATTAGCTGTAGGCATATCAAACTGAACCCATTTGTTTTTCACCTCTTCACACTTCCACAAAATTATTGGCATGGATAAAGAAAATACTCAGGAGTATAAAATTCTCTGCTAGCTGGTTAGTATTGTGCATTTAGAGGTGTGCTGAATTAATAAAATGAATATGAACAAGAGAGTGTGGTCATGACAGTCATGGATTCATCACAAGGTTTGGCACTTGTCTGCCTCATCACAAAAAAGGGATTACTTCAAAGGAGAGTAAGTGGATTGCCATGATACATGGCCACCAGTTTCACTGTGAGGAACATCTATCATGCTCATTCTCGACAGCCAGACTTAAAGTCTATCACTTCCTCCACTCCTCTGGATATGCAGGAGCAAGAGGGACCATATTTGGCAAGCAATGGTGCTGGTATTAGCACTGCATTCTTGTATTACTGGCAGTGCTATATTCAAAGTACTTCCACTATCAATCCATTCAGAAACTTAGATTTGTCCAAAGTAAAACTTTTGCAGACTTTCCAAAATGCATCTAAAACATCATTACCATTGCAAACTTTTCTTTAGATTCCTGCAAATACAGGGTAAAAAAAAAAATGAAGCAAACTTTTGCCATCCCCAAAAATATTGACAAAGGATTGCAGGCTGGAATTTGAATGGGAATAAGATGTACAACTGGGTGAGTTTTGTGAATAAGATTTAATTCCAATTTTGCATGACAAGCACAGGAGACAGGTCACTTTTGTACTCATTTCATCTTCTCACAATTCCAAAAAAAAGCAGAAATAATGAATCCAATGTAAACGAAAATGGCATGATATGATGATAGTCAACTTCAGACTCTTCCATTAGGAAGAAGAAAAGCACTGTAATATCACTGAGATATGAGGGAAAAAGTAACAACTGGGAGAAGGATGCACCTCTGAGAAACTCATTTACATCATATTCATGAGGTAAAAAATCTGGAGGCTTCATATTGCAAGAGAGAATCACATTCTTCATTTGTATCATTCTGCACTGGATGAGAAAAACATAAAAACCAAATCCAAGAGATATCAAAATGATCGCTTGATATCACCAAAAATCCTTAGTTTCTCAATAAGATCAATGGCATGAATACATGACCATCAATAAAGAGCTGTGACATTTTGTGACTCAGGTACCATGATGATAGTGCAATCAAACTTAAATCCATCAATGAATAAGATTATTACTTCAAATGATGCCAAAGGTTCAATTACAGGACAAGTATCAGAAACTGACCATTATTGTCTTGGAAGCTAAAAATAACTACACAAAATATGTTATGCCATAGATTGATGGAAAAACAAAAAAATAATTGGAAAAAGAAAAGAACAGAGCTGTGCAATTCATTCCAAATCATATTGGAACATGTAATTCCTTCAGAATGTGTAATTCCTTCTTTACATACCATAAATAAAAGTGAAACAAAAGCCAAATTTTGGCTCAAAAATTTCTCCAGGTAGAGATTACTTGAAGCTGAGTGAGTTGAAATTCACAGCACATGCAACACCAGTAATGCCCAAATGTTCTCAAGGTAAGGTAGACCAGTCAATTAATATAATATAATTTCAGGACCCAGGACAAGCAGAACTTTGGCATTGACAAGACATGATTAAAAAAAACTCATTAGAATCAATGTCAAGATCAACTGGCATTCACTGTACTAATTGAAACATCAGGGAGTGCTGGGGCAATGGGAATAGTTCCTGAGGGGTTTCCAGATCGGGGAGCCTGGATTTTATTAGTGAGACGAACAGCATTCTTCAGAGCTTGCCGCTTATTACAGAACCAAATCCGTATTACTTCTCTGTCATAGCCCAGCTGGTGGGCAATTCCACTGATTTCCGTGCCTGTTGGATGTGTCTTTTTCTTGAAATACTCATTAAGGTACTCCACAGCCTGATTGGAGAACGATGTGCGTTTCTTACGCTTCTTAGTGTGCTCTGGTGAATGGATGTGCACTCCATTGGGTGGTCTCCCCAGCTGGTAGCTCTCTTCTGCTTCCTTCATCCACTTTTCCAAAACTGGTTTAATCTTTTGGGCACTTTTGGGAGTGATGTCCAGTTTTTCAAAACGGCAAATGGCAGACTGGGAATAAGCTGGTCCAGCTGTAGCTGAAAGAGCAAGTCCAACCTGTGTCTGTGTTAGCCCCATTGCCAGTCTCTTCATCTTGAACTCTTTTGCAAACTCCTTGATTTCTTTCAAGTCAACTCCATCCACAATGTGTGTGTTACCTTCACGAGAAATCTCATTGATTGTTGGCTGGTCTTGAACCTCCTGGACCATCTCAGGTGTGAAAGTGGAGAATATTGGAGTCACAGATGCAACTGTGGATGCAATAATGTCTGGATTTTCCACTTTCAAATTGTTGTGAGTCACATTACTCGATGAGTTTCCTTGAGTGCTACACATGGTGGAGCCATCATTATTGGAAGGCATTAACTGGTTTGTTTCTATGGGCTGCTCCTGCTGTGTCTCTTGGCACAAAGCCTGAGGCTGTGTGGAATAGATCAACGACCCAAGTGGGGGCTGAACTGGAGATGCCTGGGCACTAACTAACTGTCCATTCTGGAATGACACCATTGGTGATGTCATGGGGAGAGTCAAAAGTTGCTGCACAGCAAGTCCTTGTGGTGTTGGGATCAGGACTTGGGTTCCCGACAATGATTGCATATAATTCCCAGAGGTTAAAATCACTTGAGGCATCACTGATTGCTCCTGCTGACTTTGGGCTATCGTAGAGATGGGCAGTGATTGAATAAGCGGAACACAAGTGAGCTGCCCTGCTGCATTTGTATGTACAATGGCAAACTGTTGTGGCTGTTGCTGGATGATCTGACCCCCCTGGATACATAGTCCATTCCAGCCTTGACTCAGATGATTTTGGCCTACAAATTGAATGGCTTGGCTGACCTGCTGTGTATTCATGACTTGGAATCCTGAAGGACCCTTGTCATTTGTATTCCCAGATATGTTAGAATGAGACTGATCTTCCATTGTCTGCATGAGGTTGGAGGCTTGTTGGAAACTCAAAGCAATCTGTTGCTGAGATGCCTCTATGTCTACAGTCATGTGGGGTAATGCATCCATTGTTGCCACTCGAAAGATGATGTCACCTTGACATTGAATAATTGCCTTCCTGGATCATGATTTCTCCTAACACCTTTAGGGATGACAGAACTCTTACTTCCAATCCAAGCAATAAACACAACCTGATGTAACACTGGGCCTAGACTATATATACATTTGCCTACCCAAGCTTATACCTACTCTAATCTTATTGCCCATTCTTAGTGGATAAAACGCCATAAATTTATGGCAGTGTCTATTGGCCAAGCTAGCTTGGCCCTGACTTAAAGGACAAGCTGGAAAGTCACCTGACTTGTGACATCTCAGTTGATAAGACCAATACTCTATAGAAGAGAGCTCGGCCTCTAAGTTGTGGCCGAGCTGGTTTTCTGAAGAGGAAAAGAATTTGCATGGTTAGGCTTAAGTCCTAAAAGATGTGTATTCTAGAGTGATAGCTTTCATCATATTACAAGTGCCATGTGCATCTTTTTAAGCAACTTCAACTGAAGAGTAACTATTAAGATGCAGGATTTGACAAAATCCATAAAATCTATAGAGTTAAGGTATAGGGCTCATTCAAGGCCCTAGTTGTGTGTAGAGAAAAGAGCCCTTAATGGGTGATTTCAAAATTTGATTTCAATTTACCCACGTTCCAGCATAAGATATCTTAAATTAGTCAAGTTGCATGCATCCTACTTCCTAACCCCACATGATATAAGACCTGTTAAACAACCATGACATACTACAATAATAAAGAGCTGTCTAGTTTTGTGCTAATGAGGTGAAAAAGATTGTTCAGAGTCTTCCCACAAGGCAAACGAAGCAGCTTCCTCTACCTTGCAAGACATGCCTGTGTTTAATGGGCTGCAGGAAACTGTGTCCTGTTAGTAGTGATGTTAGAGATCATTATTCTCAGCTCGGCCTTTAAGTCGGGGCCGAGCCAGCTCGGCCAATAGACACTGCCTAAATGTATACACACGGTAAATCAGAGGTTCAGGCATGTTACCAACGTCCCAACCTGGAGTTATTCCTATCACCAGTTTCCTTTCGTTTGCGCCTAACACTTCCTTAAATGACTCCAACGCCTGTGTAAAGTTTTCCACTTCAGAAACTCAGTCACCGTTTTTTAAGTCAGCCAATGCCTACCCGACGCTGAAGGACCGAAGCCATGTCTAGGCCTACTGTACACGTAAGGAACGAGTAAAGCTTTCAGCCCACAGATTGTGCTAAAGGCCCTATTTAAAAATCATGCTGGCTGTTGAGAGCAAACATAAAAATTTGAAACAAGGATAAGACAGTATTAACAACTGATTAACCAAAAATCCACGGTAAGGCTCAGGAGTTAGGATCTGGACTCGTGCGAAGGAGGACGCCATCTCGACTCTCTCCAGGATTATCATTGGTGGATCCATTGGGCGCAAACGTATTGCGTCCCGAGCACGTGTTCCTCAAACCTCCCTGCGGTGATTTGAAAATGAATTCGTACGCGGGGAATTTGTTAGCTCGAATTCAGGAAGATCCGATGACTCGCCTCGTTAACCAAAATTCGCCTTATAAGGAATCAGTATTACCCTTGGGAAAAAAAGTTGAATTCAAGGAAAATAACTTCTGGATTTCTTCCATCCCCATTTCCGATTCCAAGGATTCCAATCATGTTTTATTCCAAGAAGCGGAGATGGACGCGCTGGGATCTTACTTTCATTTCAGAGAAATTTAACCTTAGATTGTGAGAGCATGTCAGGTGCGTCTGAGACAGGTGCCTACATATCCCTCACTCAAACCCCAACAAATTGTTGGATATTTCATTAGCTATTCAAGATTCAAGATAGTTAGCGATATCGAGAGGCGATTTCGCCCATTTCGATATCACGTGTTGAGATTGAGCGTTCCTTAATTTTAGGGTGGGCCTAACCCTCTTAAAGCTAAATATTTTATTATTTTTTTTTTTATTTGCCTATCCTAGTTGCTTACTGTCTAGTACCTAACGATAAAGAGAAATTGTTGGTGGAGGTATGGAAAACTTCCCTCCTATGAGTGCTGGCACGTCAGTTCGTACATCTTTACCACATTAGCAGTCATATACAGGGTATTCCGGAAGTTTCTGACCCCCCCTTCCCAAAAAAAAAAAAATAATAATATATATATGGCTAAATACTATGTCAGCCACTGTGAAAACATCCTGCTTATCTACAAGTGCTACATGAAGATCAGGGAGATCTGGTCAGATCGAGAAAAGACCGTGCTGATGCATTACGGACAGGGCCGGCGCTAGTACCCCTGCGTCCCCTGCGGCCGCAGGGGGACCCAGCCCCAAGAAGAAGAAATAAATAAGTAAGATAGGAAGAACGAAAGCAAAAGAGAAAAAACGTTGAAACGCTGCTAGTTATTCCGAATGAGATCCAATCTCTGAATGAGACAGAATATTCCTAGATCTTCCTACTCTGGACAGGCGAGAAGGCCGAGCTGGGCGAAATCCGCCACCAAATGCATGGAAAGTATATTTTAGAGTTCGATTTTAATTTTAATTTCGCCACCCTTTCCGCATGAAATCCTCGCGCTTGCAGGCACTCAAGGAGGTGAGAAAGATGTCCGCGTAGAAGGGTCTATCTCATTTTCATCCTTTTCCCTCGCTCGTCTCTCTTGATCATGTCGTGAAATGTCTTGTACATTCATTACCGAGTCATTGATAGGGTTGTCACATTTGAATTAAACAAAACGTGGACGCATAGAAATATGTAAGTATATTTGAAGTACGAGGTACTTGCTTATGCGGCTATGCCACAAATACCCAGAGCCAAGACGCCAATTGATACTATGAGTGTGGTCTGGTGCTTTTGACTTACGGAAAAGAGCCGTTTTAGCACCTATTAAGTTTTATTAATTAAAAAAATCTCAATAAGTTTATAATAT